TATCGTGTTCAGCAATAACGCGCTGACATGGGAACATTTAAAAAGTTAAAGAGGTCGTGTTAGGTCATTAATCTCGATTAAGATTAAAAATGTCAACAGCTTGAGCAAAATCTCAAAGGCTTAGGTGCTCCCTTCAGATTTCCGATTTTTTTATTTCTCTTTTAGGAGTGTCAGCGGTTTTTGTTTTTCACCTGCCTGTGGTGGGAAAATATTTAGAGCCACACCTGGGTGGCAGATACAGGATTTCTGAATGTGACCTGACCAGGTATTACACATGGCATGCAGAATGAAACGAAAATAGTCTGCTGCTTTCCAAAATTTGAACAACCTTGGCCTCTCCAACAATTTGATTGAAGAACATTTCAGTTAACTAGTATTCGACTGAAAAAAACATTTGGAAAAGAAGTGTTGGAGTGAGGACCATTAAGACGAGTAAGCGTTTGATCAAAGCGCTTTCCAAAAATAATCGTTCAACCCAAAAACGTTTCGTTAAACCGACATTCGGTTAATATACATTTTGACTTCTGAACATTTTGTCCGTTTGATAGATCGGTAAATAGGCATTTCGCCAAATGACCGTTTAACTTTAACCATATCGACTTTTTTGACATTACAGCAAAAAGCACCATCAAAATAGCACTCAGCCAAATGTATTCGGCAAAACTAATATTCGATCGAATGCAGTTCGTTATTTGTACGCGTACCTAAAGCGTAAATCTGGTGTCAAGGCAACCAGCAGCGGTTTCTAGATATGTCAGTGACGCATGATTGAAGGAATGATGCATACCCATGCATTTGGTCCTTAAATGCTGGCAGTCTTGGCAGTTACTTGTGGGACTGAGGTTTAAAAATTGCATTTACCTGATGTCACGGAGACCGTGTAGCTAGTTCTCTATTTCATGCACTTAGTTACCGATCATTAGATGGCCACTTTGTTCAGTTCATGCATAGTAAACTCAATTTTGCGTGACTGCGCATTTTTAAAGAAATGTAGAAATCCGTTGATGTCACTGACTATATGGGCATTGTTAACAAACTACAAGCAAGCCCCTGGCCCATGTAATATTCGTTCAAAAATCCCGTCATCGGTGTGCATTATATTCGCTGCACCGTGCGTAGCCGTACGCTACCAGCGTCACGTTAAAGGAAATATTCCACATATATATGGGGTTCTGAACTGAAAAAAGCCTTCCTGAAGCTCATTCAGAGCAGTTCGCCGTCATGCCCTTCTTCATACCAGCTACTCTAGTCTCTGAGGTGCATGGCCGCGAAGATGTGCAGACTATTTCAGAGGTTATTTCAAGGTCATCCAGGTATCATCACGCTATAATAACGTCATTTAAATCCCGCTAATCCATTAGCCATGTGGCGACCTAGGCCAAGACAAATGTAATTATCAATACGTTCATACCTGGCGTTCGTGAACACCATTGCCAGATATAACGGTCATCAATTGGCTCTCAACCAAAGTTGTGGAAGGTACGTTGACGTAATCAAGCCATGAATTATCTAGGAGCATATTTACTTGACGGAGACTCTGTGTTGTCTAGAGCAATTTTTTCCACTTTGAAGTATACCACTAGCTATACGTGAGCTTATTTCATCGTATTTGATGCTTTTGTATCTTTGATATCTTCGATGCATCGCATCTTGTTCTCGTTCTTTGCTGCATCGTGTCTTTGATATCTTCAGACATGGATCATTCCGTTTAACCTCGGCGTATTGCAGCGTTTGCCGCGACCTCTGCCGTGATGTTTGGCTTTCCACCTGTAACGTCTGCCTCGCGGTCTATGTGTCGTCACCATACGCAGAATGTATGTGCCCACCACCGCCTGATTGCAGACGGAGGAGCCTGCGACTGCTGCTCTTATTGAGGGCAGTAGGTCACACGCAAAACACGAGACAAACTATGAGTAGCATCGAGTAGTGGGTGGGACGGTCGTCGCCTTCCTTTTGAAGAAAAAATTAATTAATGCATTAGATCAGAGTTATTACCGCATGTCATCATGGGCAATATTGTTCAAAACGCTTACCCCGCGATATTCTTAGACATTCCTGAAAAGCACAAGACGTTCCAACTGAAGTGGTATGCATAACATGTGTCCCCGCCAACGACATTGAGCGCCTGATCTCGTCTTTCCTCTCAAACCACTGGGTGCCCCGCGCAATGCGTGACTGGGGCTCCAGAACACCATTAGGGAAGTTTCGACAAAATCGAAGGGGTCTTCGATTTCTGATGCATGTGGATGTCGAGCTCCCGCTGTCTTCATGCATGGGAATAACCACTCAGACAAGTGAGAGATCTTATACTCAGCATTTAAAACTGAGTGATGATCCGAAGCCCATGCGTCAACGTGTCCCGAGTCATCCTGACCCAACCAAATTATAACCTAAGCCGTCTATAGTTAACGGTAGCGTCTTTTTTCCAACGCGCAGTTTTCTGCGTTTGTGCTGTCAATAGCGTCTGTTTCCTTGACACGAAGCGAGTCATTTATTAATACGTTACCACTGACTGCAGTGGCTGGAGCTGATGGTCGAAATTGGCAACACTAATCACAAACGAGCACAGAAAGGGAGCACTCACACGACCACCCTGAGGCCCGCGGCGGCCTCCGCGCTCGCTCGGACCGCCCCAGCCTCGGCGGCCGACGGTCGGCCGCCGCCACGCCACGCGGCGGGGGCGCGGCGTGGTCGCCCGCCACCACACGCCCGCCGGTGTCCGTCTGGCCCGGCCGGACGGCGCTCAATCCGATTACCCGCCACTGATCGTCCCGAACGGCGGCTAATGCGCCGCACAGACCCTCCGGAACGGCGGGAAGTGGGCGGCGGTGCTTCCTGAATAGCGCACGCGGCACCCGTTCACGTGTCGCCGCCATGGCAGCTTGTCAGGAATAAAGGTGCCGCTTTCTGGAAGTTCTTGTCCAAAGTCCAAAGATCAGTTGTCTGTCAAAATAAGTTAAAAAAATACTTCAAAAATCGTCATTTCTTTAACACATGCGTGCTATTGCTCAAAACCATGAACCCCAATCACTACTCGCGTCGCTCCATTCCGTCACTCGGATTGAACAAAAAGGAAGAAAATGATGTAGGCAAGTAAGGTGCACCTGCATTGAATAAGTTTAGATGCGTATCACTTTGCAACACGACAGAATTATATCGGCTATCCATTCAATTCCAACGATTTTTCCCCTGCCCGCCCAATTTCCAAACTGCGCCTTGAAAATGTCTGGACTTCCAAAAATACGGAATTCAATCGGTACTTGTAGTCAGGGGGCTCCCTCGGAGACGGCCGGCGAGCACACAAACCGGGCGCCCGCTGCATTCCAGTGGGCGGCTTGTACGGTTTTGCTCGGTGTTGGTGTTTGGTACGTTTTGACGCCTGCTTCAGGCGAAGAACCAGCTGTTGTCCGCCTGGGGCGGAGGGGGGAGGGGTCCTGGCGGTCCACGCGAGGCCCATGTACGGAAAAAAAACGCGAGGGTCGACTAAAACATGTGTATTTCCTGAGACGTATAAAAAGCAGAGCGATTGCGCTCGAGCTCCAGCTCAGGAATATATAAAGCATAGCCGTGTGAGGCGTCTCAGTGGCGCAAACCCCCGCCACCAGGCAGCACCGACAGATGGCACATCGACCGTTAAAATACACATCAGCACGGTTAAACAGCAATCACAAACCTTGGATACCATGGTGAGGCTGGGCTCTGCCCGCCAATCACGGCCTACGATGGTCTACAGCTCTACACACAGGCGCTTGACAAGCCATATGATTGTACGCATTGTCAGACTGCCGGGGGTGGCTGCACAGCAGGTCAGATTTTGTCCCCACAAAACGGGAGACCGAGGTCACACCGGGCCCGCGTAAGGCGCCTGCGATGTGAATATGACGTCACAGGAGGACGAAAGACACAAGGCGGCAAAAGAAATGACGTGGTGGGTTGATATTGGCATCAGGGACCCCTGGGCATTATCAGCATGCGCCAGGTCCGCTACAAGGCACCACGGGCATGGCAACGGCGGACAGACCCCTGGAACGTTATTGACGGAACGAACCAACGGCGGCACAGGGCGTGCGACACGTAATCAAGTCCCGTCACGGCTTTGGAAGAATGAAAGTTGAAAACAAGTCGCGTAATTGGTCCGGAGCGTAACACAGGAGACGAAAGGAGACGCGTGTCGATGGACTCCGCCACCGACAATTATAATTTATGATTCTGAGTATAATTCAGGGTTAAAACGGACGCGAAGCTACGTGACACGTGTGGTGAATCGCGCAAGCTAACAACTACCCACCTGCATTGCGCCTAAAATATTCAGTTAATGTCATATTCCATATATAAACATAACACCCGATACCCATCCAATCATGTCATCCGCGTGCGACCAGTGGAAAGATCTCGTATAAAACGCAGTTCAACACCAACAAACTTCCCATCGCATGGATTGGCAATCTACTTTTCTATAAAGGCCAATATGTGTCCCGAAGCTTAGCCACCGACCGAGGCCCCTTGCCTTGCGCGAGTGGCCCGAGGCAAGGTGTCTAGACTTCAGCACAGGCCGGCTGCAGTAAATACAAGATCTTTGGTTAGTGGGTTGAACGGCGGGCTGATTACCTGATCGCCAGATCGATACGACTTACCACCGCAAATACCACACGGGAGAGCGACTAACTCAGAGCAGCCCAGTCAGGAGATGACCCTGCCCCAATAGGAGCCCGGAATTACTAAGAGAGGTACAAACTGTCGCCAGGCGCAGTCATCCGCGTCCGGGCAGACACAGCACATCAGCCCAGGTGGGAGGAAGTAATACTCAGATGTCATTGCGCCGACGCCGCCGCCCCGTCCAGCGCCAAGCGTCAGTCGGCAGCGGATGGGAAGACGACGCGGGAGCTGCGCACAATTGAAAGCCACGTGGTCCGGCTCGAACCCCGTGGGAGGGACCCGCGTCCAGGTAATGTGGGTCCGCGTCTGCACGGGCTGTTCTCCGTCCCACGGCCGGGCCGGGACTAGGCGACAGGGCTGATCAGGGCCTCGCCATCATCGGTCGAGCGGCGGCAGCAGCAGCGCACCAGTCGACGGAGCAGCGGCTCGCCCTCGTCCTCGCGGTAAACGCCGGTGGCCGGGTCCGAGCGGCGCACGCGAACAAACTCGTCCAGCGGCGACAGCGGGAAGCCCTCGCGGTAGTACTTCTTGATGGTCTCGTACGAGTCCATGATGATGGAGATCATCAGGCTGATCACCACGTAGATGAAGAAGAAGATGAAGACGTAGACGTACAGCTTGGAGAACCAGTAGACCAAGCTGGACTTGGGCGAGACCTGTGCGAATGTGGCGAACATGTCATCGCCGTTCATCAGTGAGAAGAGTGCCTCGGACGTCTTGCTTAATGTGCGGAACTTGAGGTGGTACGGCCCCAGCACCAGCCAACCGCAGAACGCGAAGCCGGCATAGCAGATGGTCGCGCACACAGAGAAGCGCAGCACGCTCGGCATCGAGCTCTTCACCGTCAGGATGAGCACGTTATACGAGCTGAAGAAGCCAAAGTAGCGGAGGACACCGATCCAGACCAACAGGTTTCCGACGCCGAGCACGACGGCACAGACGTTCCACGTGGCCGCACTCGCCGTCTCGCCCACCGCCTCCGTTTCCAGCTGGATCATGATCAGCGATGCGAAGATGATGAGCACGTCGTTGATGATGATGAGCACGTACCATAGATTCAGGAAGCGGAAGTGCTCCTCGGAGCTGAGCTCGTAGTCGAAGTGCTTCCTCAGCGTAATCTGCGTCTCGTACCGCAGCAGCTGCGCGCGATAGATTGCGCGCGTGCACATAACAAGCGAGAAGAAGCAAATGACGACGACGGCCACGTTGACGGCCGTGAAGAGCGCCTGCACGGCGGCGCCGCCGTCGGCGTACTCCACATCGCCGTCGCAGTGCTGCAGCTGCGCCCGCACGTCCAGCGCGACGAGCATGCGGCCGTCTTGGTCACCGTTGTCCATCGTCAGCGCGGCGCGCAGTCGGTAACACTCGGGCGGGTTCACCGGCATGGCCAGCTTGAGGCGCACCGCGTTCAGCGAGAAGGCCAGTGTGGTGCGCGTCAGCCCGATGAACGAGACGTTGAAGCCGCGCCGGCGCAGCGCGACGCGCGACGAGAAGTTGTGATGCGCCAGCTCGCGGGGCGCCGGCATCAGGTCCGTGCAGCGCGACTGCAGGTGCGCGTCGAAGGTGTACGACATGTTGGCCGTGAAGACGCTGGCATGGCGGTACTCCTGCAGGCACAGCTGCATGGGCGGCGCCGTGGCGTTGGGGTAGCCGACGCCGCTGACGGCGATGCTGTCGATGTCATAGTAGGCGTTGACAGCGAAGTCGAGCGTCTCGAAGAAGCGGTGGCGCGAGTAGACGGCCAGCGGGCCGCCGCCCGGCGGGTAGGCGTTCACCTCGCGCATCACATCCCACCCGAGCACAAACAGGTGGTCCAGCGAGAACTGCGCGTTCTCCAGGAAGCTGACGTGCGAGAAGCGGCGCGTGGCGAACACGCACACCTCCAGCGTCACCAGGATCACCTTGACGATCTGCAGCGTCAGCTTGTATGGCAGCCGCTTGCGGGCGCGCCACTTGTCGATCGGGTCATGAAGAAGAACTTGCAGCTTGCGGCGCACGCGCTCGCCGGCGGCTCGCTCGGCCGGGTCGTCCGACGCGATGTGCTCCCAGCGTCGGTGATCGCAGGCGGGCGGGTCTCCGTCGCTGCCGCCCGCCGTGGGGCCGCTGTCGCCGTGGTGGGAGCGACGGCGGAATGTCGGCGACGGGGCCGGTGACAGCCGCGAGCTCACTGCCACAGGACTGTTCATCATGATGGGTACTCAGGTGCCACCTGAAACATAGCACCAGGAGCTGTTGACAACATGCATTCAGTGTTTATGTGCTCTACATGAATGTTGGATGGTATGAATTGTGTGACAGAATCCAGCAAGACACATCATGCTTTTTTCTAGCTATAGTTATACCTTAAGGGCTGTGCTGGGCTTATTTTATTTTGGTCTGGTACAGAAACTTACAGAAGTGACCATGCCTCAAACAAAATGCTGAAAAATGCTGTGACTTCTAGAGTATTTATTTCATGAACACCATAGCAGGGGCATAGTTTCCTGTTGAGTTGGAGGGGGGCTTTATCCCCCTTAAAATGGGCTTCAGGCCCCCCCCCCCACCCACTTTGGAAAGACAATCAGCAAAATCTAGGGAGAAATAAGCATATTGGCATTTTGGGGGGCATATTGGGTCATTTTTCACTATTCAGGCCTCCTCCTAACTTATCTTGTAAAATTACAATCTCCTCCACCAATGACAAGTTGTATTCTGAAAAATATAAAGCATGCAAACCCCACCACATGTGGCAAGCGCATGGCTCATATGCACCAAAATCAAGGTAGCAGGAACCATAAGACAATGGGGGCAATTCACCCTTCCCCAGCTTGAAAGCTTGGGGCCCCTTTCTTGGAGGGCCTGTGGAGGGCCTATTCCAGTGCATTAAGGACCAATTTTAAACTGTTCAGGGGTGGTATAAGCTGGCAAAATTCCATTTTGACCTGTTGAGGGCTCACTCTGGCCTATTTTGAGCATTAAGAAATTATATTCTGACCTGTAGAAGGCTGGCAATGAATGTTGAAGGTCATTCTGGTCCATAGAGGCCAATTTAGATCTGTAGGTAATCCATTATTGACTGTGGAGTGCCCATTGAGGCCTGCAGAGTCCATTCCTGGCCTTTAAGGATCCATCATAGCCTGTAAAAGGCCTATTATGACCTGAAGATAGTCCATCATTGACTGCCAAGGGCCAGTTCTGGCTTGTACTGACTGACACCAACTGTTCATTCTAACCAGTAGAGCCTATTATTAACTGTGGAGAGCCCACTCTGGTCAGCAAAGGGCCCATTCTGGTCTGTGGAAGTCCCATCCAGGTCCACAAAAACCCCATTCTGGTCTGTAGATGGCAACTCTGACACATAAAGAGCATATTATGGACCATGGAAGGCCTGTTCTGGTCTATATACAGGCTGACTCAGGCCTATGTAGGCACTTTCTAGCCTGTATGCAGCCTATTCTGCCCCAACAAGGGCCTTTATTAACCCATGGGAGCCACATTCTGACCTAAAAAGCTGTTAGGGCCTATTCTTCCCCATAAAGAGCTGATTATTGAATGTGGAGGGCCTATTTCATTATGTAGGGGGCCTATTCTGATCTGTGTAAGCCACCCTGACATGTAGATAGCCCATTACTGACTTACAGGCCCCATGTGAGCTTGCAGAGAGCCTGCTATATTTCCTTAGAGGGAGAAAAAGGGTATTTTAGAGTCCTCCTACCAATGAAAGCATAGTTCCTGTGCCCCTGACCAAAGCAAGCATATGTGGTTGCTTGGAGGGCCCATATTCATCCACAATTAAGAAAATCTAGCCCTATGCTTTAATTAATGGATGGAAAGAAATGAACCAAAACACCTCTGAGTCCTCCCACCCTCATCCTGGGCAAGCCCCTATGCTCCTTAGTGGATGTCAGACCAGGTTACAAAAGCCCTGTGCATTATAGTCACCTCAACACTGCAGCAATGCCTACAAGAGACCAAAAGAAAACAAAATGCATGCACTACCTGCTTTCCCCTTTTTGGCCTGGCCATCACCGCTGCAAGAGTAAAAATCCTATGTCATGAAATCAAATTGCAAAGCAATGTCACATGCCTACATATGGAAAGTTACCAAGCACCTGCTTCCGTATTCTCTTCAGGTGTCTATCCTTGACTATCACCCCAGTCTGGCAATGTTCAACTGATCACATGAAAACTGGTTTACCGCCAAAACGAACGGCGTTCATTCTGCTATAAAAACTGGTCTTAACGCAGAATTCAATGTTCTGTACAACCACCCCCCTCATCACTGCATAGCCCACACTTCTCAGGCGACACAAGCCGTTGTGTCTCTTACTTGCATGTGTGCTGTAAGTTTCACAAACGTTACTAGCGTCCTAGCGGTCGCATAATAACACTAATTTTACCAGTAAATCATCCTAGAGTTGATTAAAAATATCATACGTCTGATTGCCTAATTTATATTTATAATTTTTTCATCATTCTGATGCTTACGTGCATAAAATATTGATTTCAATTCATGCAACTTGTGTTTTACATTACATCAGAAGTGGATTTATCAATGCGCCACTTTGACTGACACGATGCGAGTCACCGCGAGCTCCCGTTACCGATGTGTTAGTCTTTAGGGTGGTGCATCGTTGGCCCCCACGTGCTGCGGACGGTAATCGCTGTTTAAAAGTGTTTCTAAGTCTTTTTGAGGGGTTCCGTGCGTAAATTTGTATTAAGGACACTACGATAATTATGGCTGAAGGGGAACCGGTAAGTGTTTATGCATGATCTGTTATCTATTGTGGATGCTGGATTGAGCATCTGGCCTAGTTTGTCAGCGGTAGCTGGGACTTGGGAGATGGTTGAGGCAATCCGGGTGGAGCAGTAAGCGGTTTCGTCGGGGGCAGTTTCAGCGGGCCTTGTCGTGCCTGAAAATTTTGTTCACTGGGGGTGGGCTGTTGGGTTTTGTGTTCTGGGATTTATGGCGTGCATGCATTGAAATTCCTGCTGGATGTCTGCCACATCAAACGTGATGTGTAATGTGCTAGTGTAACGCATGCCTTGTAATGCATGCCTTTCGCAGTCTAGCCTGATGTTATGAGCATATGTACAACACATCCATTTTTCCTCCTGTATATTTTTATGAATGGTTTGCATGAGTGGCTTTGGGTTCAGAATACCTGCCAAGCTTAGTTTATGTGGACCCTGAATGCACTGCCCCACTTGTACTGTCCAGTTCAATATATAATTTTGCCTCCACCCAGGTTGATCACTGCCCCCTCCCTTCTATCAGACAGGAGTGTGGACGGCCCTCCGCAATGCAGCAGCACATTGCATGCTGGCAATGCTGCAGCACAGTGCTGCAGCATGGTCAGTGACCTCTCCATGTGATTCTTGATGCCTTTGTCCTGGAAATAACTGATGCTGGATGCACAAGTTTATTGTAGGTGTTAGACATGGCCGGGGAGGTGCTACCACCTTGTGATTGAAGGAAGAGGTCATCAAGCCATCACATCACTTGAACATAGAGTTTGTGAGGAGTCATGTTTAAGATCTTGCATTTTCCTAAGGGATCACTGCTATGTAATTCCTTATTTGTTGCACATTGCACCACCATGAGGCATGGTAGTGTGTCAACTGGGATGCATGGTGGGAACTGAGACACATCACTTTCAGAAAACTAAAAATTGCCTGTGGGTGATGACTGTAAAGAAATAGCCCAAATGAGTATCAGTCCCTTGTCTTCCAACCTGCAAGCACATCACTTGCTTCAAAAGCATGGAGCAATATTTTTGGAGCAGACATTTTCACCAGCTCTGGTAGAAACATAGAAATATCTGATTGCAGCATCATAGCTTCTTCTCAGCAGCGTATGCTACCACCTAGGACAGTCAGCCATACCACTGGTAAAGCTTTCACAGGGCAATTTTCTTGTGGTTTACCCTGCAGCTACCTTTTGGCGTGGCTGCCTGATTGCAAAAGTTGTTTATTTTTTTATTTATTGTGGGAAAATATCGAAAAGTAAATGTGGCTGTTTAGTACAGTGATATTATAAGTATCACAACTGCACACTGCTTGAGAATCAGTTTTCACATATTCCTTTCTGGTCTGCACCACCTTCATTTATGGTACAATGTTAAGAGCAGCCAAACAGTCTCTGGTGGGACATGGTATGAGCTGGATTCACTGGATGCAGGCAAAAGTGATGCTTGTGACTTACTGGTGCTGTGTTCATCCTTCTCTGCATCACCATTAAGGGAAGCAAGTTCTTAGCTGCTGGTGTGGGCTGAACCTGGATTCGGCTGTGGCTGAGCTGGGCGGCAGGGTTGTGAGAAGAAGTGTGGGTAATAATTGTACAGCTAATCCATTCAGGGGGCATTCTTGAAATAATAAAGGTAAAAGATGCACCCTAGTCCATTCTTTGGGTGGTACAGAACTGATTTTGGAGGCTTTCATAAGCATTGTTTTTCTGTTATCATTATATTATTGTTATGTATCCGGCCTGCCACCTAGTGTTAGCTGCAGTGGCTTATTCCGTCCATTTGGTTTGACGGAACCTGCAGCACCGGCCATGAGCCGCAAAGTGTAGCTGTAAGCATGGGTGTTCTAGCTCTTTTACTAGTTGATCCTGTGTCAGGATGGACATCCATAGGCAAACATGGGTTGGCTTTTTTATTTTCAACCTCATTTCCACTCACCTTATGGACTGTTGAGGGGACCCCCTTATCTTTTCTGGACAAGGGGCTACCCCCATGGACAGAGCACTAGGGGATGCATCTTTCCCAGCCAAGGGCTAAGGGTTCATTCTGTCCCAGCACTGGGAATGGGTAACTTGGGTCTTCTGGATGCTGTAAGGGGGATGCATCATCCACTGGTCCCTTCCCTGATGTGGGAGGCCCTCTGACCCAGGAAGTCGGCGCCGGATCGACGCAGGGCCCTTATTAACGCAGAAAGATCTGTTGTTGCTGCAGGGGTCCAATAATTGGGAGAAGCTCTAATCTAATTAGCTGACCCCTGGCTGCAGTGAGTTTGAGGGTTCACTCAGGACTGGGGCCCTGATTGATGCAAGGCCCCGCCATTCTCTCATTGCTGACTTTGATTGTAAGTTCTTAAATTTCCTTTGCCTTGATTGTCCGACCCTAAGGGCCCTTCAAACTCCTTGTCAGGCCCCCTCCCCACAAACTTGCCTTCTCCGCATGCCTTTTGCATGCTCAAAGGTATTGCTGATTTTTGAAGGAAGATTGTTCCAGTTTTTTAAGGGTAATGATATGACTTAGATACATATGATATGGTAATGAAAGGTGTCAAGGTAATGAGGCTACTCGAGGTCATTTCATTCTACTCCCTGACCTCTATCATGGGTGACTGTGTGACAGTATGTATACTGCATTGGTGGTTGACTTTAAAGGTTGCTCTAGCACTGCTTTGAATGATCTTCTAGATATGGTGTAGCATGACATTGATGCTGAATGAAATGTTCACCATAACTTATGGTTCACATGTGTATCCAGTAGCAGTTCATAATCTGGCGGTGTTGTTACTTGTGAGCTTATTTGACATATACCATAAGACCTGATTTGATGAATTTTGGCCCGGGATCACCTTTGCATAAATCATGGGTGTGGTGTTTTGTAACCAGTTCGCACCTGTGGAAGCATTAGATAAGAAGCTATGTTGCATAAAGTGCCTGAGAGTATTTTCAGAGTGCCAGTTCTGCTAAAAACTAAAGAAGCTAACTCCCCACCTGACATGCTGATTGCCTCACTTTCCATCTACAGCTGGACATATTTGATGCCACCAAGAAGAAGAAGAAGAAGAAGAAGACGCCATTCGACCTTGATGCAGCGCTGGGCGAGACAGCGGAGCCGGCGCCGGCGCCGGCCACCGACACCGCCGGCCATGAGGAGGCGCCGGCCGAGCCAGTCATCGACGACGGTACGTCCCGCTCGCGCTGGCACCCCTCTTTCCGCCTCCTGACCGGCATGAGGTGAGGCTGAAGTGGGGTGCGTGGAGGGCTAGGGTAGGGGTACGTCCCGCTCACGCTGCCCCCCCCCCCCCCCCTCCCCCCACGTCCTGACCGGCAGCAGGTAAGGCCGAAGTGGGGTGCGTAGAGAGCTCAGCTCCGGGTGGGCTGCAAGGTGCAGTGCCACTTTGTCGTCGGAGTGTGGTGTTGTGGCCTTGGTTGCTGGAGGTGCGCGTCCGTGGCTCTTGTGAGCGTGGAATGTAAACGCTGATGGTGTATTGAGCTATAGAACCTTGTCCTGAGTGGCACCAGTGTCGGCCCATGACGCAAGGCTGCCTTACCGTGTGTGGCATCCACGTGGACCCCGATGTCGGGACACTGGAACGGGAAGCAAAAGAACAAACTTAAATTTGGCCAGCTGGCTGCGATACAGCAGGCAGGGTTCGTACACACGCGGTGCTGCGGTAAGCCTCTCACCACATAGTCACCGTGATTGTGATGAAGAAGCGAAAATCGTGTGGAACACGTCAGCCGATTACACATGGGTTCGGTTGTCCTATTCATAGGTTGTTGGATCGGGAGATCAGTTTGCTTGTTTTGCCCCAGGTTATGACTAATTTTGGGGGGCATACCACATGGTAGATATACGAGCGAAAAACGAGAGCACAAAGCGTCTGATCATGGGCATTTCGCATGCAGAAACACCGTCTTATGAGACACGTTGTGGGAGACTACGCCCTGCCATACGCAAGTCATGCCCCACAAACGATAATTAACTGTGTAAAATAATTCACTTATGCTGCTGCAGTGTACGAAATATGCAAAATATGAACGAAAAAATGTGATCTGCTGAAGGTGACGCCAGAAACATTGCTTATAACCTGTTTAGGTAGCTGCGTACAACTGTTGTCATGTTACTGAAGTTGGCATACTATCCATCTCAAACAACATCATGCCAGAAGCGTTTAAACATTGGAATCACCAGGACCTTGAGACGCTTGAGTGTGCAGGGCCGGTATTGTTCCGACTTCCCAGGCTAATTATGGCTGTGCGATCGATGCCAAACGGTGCAGCTTTTTCCATGACGAGGCGTGGTGTCGCTTCGCTGACGCGCGGCCTCGAAATTCTCAGACATAAACCTCGACCTCGAAACGTTCGGCAAGAAGAAGAAAAAGAAGAAGGCGCCTTTGAATCTAGATGACCTGGGTGAGGCGCTGCCCGCAGCCGAGTCCAAGTCCGCTCCAGAGGCGAAGGAGGAGGTAAGCACAGCCGTGGCGGGGGCTCGTGTTCGGCCGACAAGTCGTGTCCCGCGGTGCGATAAAAGCCGTCGCGAATCGAAGGAACGCTCGCAAAAAGGTGCGACTGGTTTGCGGCGCACCGTTTGCGGAGTGGCATCTACACCATCTGGTTTGTGGACGCACCGTTTGCGGAGTGGCATCGACACCATCTGGTTTGTGGCGCACCGTTTGCGGAGTGGCATCTACACCATCTGGTTTGTAGCGCACCGTTTGCGGAGGGGCATCTACACCATCTGGTTTTGCATAAATGATAAGGATCCGTCATTCTGGAGTTAGCTCTTCATGTCTTTTTTCCTATTGTCCCACGTTGGGCATGTCCAGTGAAACGTGCTGTGCGCACTTCGTGGTCATTGTTGGGGACACGCTCAGTCTGCCTACACATTGCTGTTGACACTGCGACTGCACCTGTGTATCTGCATATTTTGATGCGGCCGGACGCGCGCTTCAGCGACCTCTGGGAATCATGCGCGAGCGCGCTCTTCCTATCCCGGGGCGTCGCTCCCATCGTAAGTGGCGTCTCCTGGGGCCGTTGCGGTGAACAAGAAATGCCGCGGTGGTGGCGTTTCTTGTCGCACAGTGGTGGTCGCTGCGATGGTGTTCCTTTCTGTTGATAACGGCTGCTGGTCATGGGTGCCTTGACGTGTGTTGCTTAGAGGCTGCGAAGTGTTCAAAGAAGTTCAGACCTGAATCGAACGTTCCGATCTGTGACGTTACCGCCCGTTTGTAGGCACCAGAGGACCTGGACCTGGACCTTGACATGGACTTCAGCATGACCAAGAAGAAAAAGAAAAAGAAGAAGGACATTGAAGAGCTTGTGGCGGCCGGCGAGGACGCCGAAAACGAGGAGCCCGGTTAGTAGTCGGAACGGAAACGGAGCCCGTTGCCGTGGCGAGGTATCAAGCTCCCGCAACGCGATCTCATTAGGATCCCGGCGCTCTGCGTGTTCACTCGGGCGTATCTGCGTCCCCGGTTTTGACATCATTCCAGTAACTGGCGCAGCAATGAGCGGACTTGGGACGGTCCAACCTGTCTTTTCGCTCTTTGTTCAACGGAAATGTATGCGAAAAAACGGCATCGCCGCGGAGGCTTCAGGTGGGGTGCGGAGTCGCGCTTGCCAGCCCCGCCCTGACCCTGCTCTGACTCCGCCCTGACTCCACCCGGACCCGTCCTGACTCCGCCCGTCTCCGCCCCGTCTCCGCCCTTACCCAGCCCTGACTCCGCCCTGACCCTGCTCTGACTCCGCCCTGACTCCACCCGGACCCGTCCTGACTCCGCCCGTCTCCGCCCCGTCCCCATCCTGGCCCAGCTCTGACTCCGCCCTGACCCTGCCCTGACTCCGCCCTGACCCTGCCCTGACTCCGCCCTGACTCCGCTTGGACTCTGCCCCGACCCTGCCCTGACTCCGCCCTGACCGCGCCCCCAGCGGAAGCCGAAGGTCCCGTCTGGGTGAGCTCGGACCGCGACTACACGTACGACGAGCTGCTGACGCGCGTGTTCGACATCATGCGCGAGAAGAACCCGGACATGGTGGCCGGCGAGAAGCGCAAGTTCGTCATGCGACCGCCGCAGGTGGTGCGGCTCGGCGCCAAGAAGTCCAGCTTTGTCAACTTCGCCGACATCTGCAAGATGTGAGGCTACTGTGGCGGGCGGGTCGGCTGGGAGGAGAGCACAGGGAGGGAGGGGGGACGGTTTAGTCACGCCAGGTGTCGTATGGCTGAGGCGCGTCGGTCGGCTGGGAAAAGAGCACAGGGGGGGGGGGGCGGGGGGCGATTCAGTCCCGACAGGTCTCGTACGGCTGAGGCGGCGTGCGGGATGAGCAGAGTTCGGAGGACGTTCTGGGCTTCTGGAACTATCCGGGGCGGCAAAACTTGCGCTAGCTTTTGCTGGTGATTGTTGCAAAAGAATCACGATTACAATGACAAGGGTAATGATGCTGACAGTATGGCAGTAGAAGCGACAGAATTTTAACGCACCAGGAGTAACCGATTCACAAAATGCTGACAAGTGGCATTTTGAGAGCTGGCTCCATTTAGCCACAATGTTGTTCCCCGAGCCCGAATGTTGCACCACACCGAGCAGATCCCGCTCAGTTTTCCACAATGTCGATGGTGTGTCTATCATTGTGTAGCCCTCATTCTCTTGGCGTATGCTCGGCTATTTCAGCATGTTGGTGTGTTCCCCTTGCCCTGGTATGTATGCTCCCTTCGCCCGCGTTCTTGGTCAGCTGTGCCTATCCTGTCAGAGCGTGTCTTTCACGTCTGTGTTCCCCTCTCCCATCAGTGCTTGTGTCGCAAGTCAACGTTCCTGTGTTCCAAGTCTGTGTTTCCCTTCTTGTCAGAGCATGTGTTCCAAGTCTGTGTTCCCCTCTCCCATGAGAACATGAGTTCTAAGTCTGTGTTCCCCCTCCCATCAGGGCATGCGTTTCAAGTCTGTGTTTCCTCTCCCCCATCAGAGCATGAGTTTCAAGTCTGTGTTTCCTCCCTCCCATCAGAGCATGCGTGTCAAGTCTGTGTTCCCCTCTCCTGTCAGAGTATGCGTTCCAAGCATGTGTTCCCCCTCTCCCGTCGCAGCGCCGTTGGTCCGTGTCCGCGGTATGTGTTCCGCATTGTCGGCTGGCCGGCACACCGGTCAGACGGACTCCTTCCGCTGCTCCGCGCCCCGAGCGTCCCCGCTGTCCGTATTCTCTCCCCCGACCACGGGCCGTCCGCCATCTCTGTCCGACGGTCGGCGTGCGGCCGCACCACCGCCGGACTGACGCCGCGCCCTCTCCGCTCCCCCAGGCTGCACAGGCAGCCCCAGCACCTGCTGAACTTCCTGTTCGCTGAGCTGGGTACGTCAGGCTCGGTGGACGGCACTAACCAGCTCATCATCAAGGGCCGCTTCCAGCAGAAGCAGATCGAGACCGTGCTGCGGCGCTACATCCGGGTAGGTGTGCTGCGGGGCCGTGTGTGACCGGCGGCGGGTGCCCTGTCGACTGGCTCCTCGGCCGCGCTGCGAGGTGCTGCTGGTGCTCTGCAGCTTCGTACGGGCTGTGTTACGGCGCGTAATGTATGATATTGTGGTTGAGATAAAGGGACGTGCGCCAGCTTTAGCCAAGCGGGATGTACGTTTGTTTTTTTTTGGGGGGGGGGGGTCGTTTGGGCTGCTGCGCATTCGTAGGTCTGTGTGTTGACATGTGGTAACATGAGCACGCGAGCTGCCAAATCGCACGCTGGCCTCTGACCTCTACGGCATTCAAAGCACGTGGATCGTCACTTCCGGTGTAACAGCGAGTTCGTCGTCCCTCCCTCTAGCGTTGATTTCTCTGTGTGGCTCTCATCAGCCAGCACCGTGCAGTCCGCTGCCGTCGGGACGGCCCGGCGTCCGGTCATGACCCGGCGACCGCCGCCGTATTTGGTCCTCCGGGCGTGTGCGCCGCGTCCCTGCCGGCGGCTGACCGGTGGCTCGCCCTGCGCCGACCCCGGGCTGGCCCCGCCCCGACCCGCGCTGACCCCGCCCCGACCCGCGCTGACCCGTCTGACCCGGCGCCCCGGGCTGTTTTCGCCCTGACTCGCGCTCACCCCGGGCTGGCCCCGCCCCGACCCGCGCTGACCCGTCTGACCCGGCGCCGGCAGGAGTACGTGACGTGTCACACCTGTCGCTCGCCCGACACCATCCTGCAGAAGGACACGCGCCTGTTCTTCCTGCAGTGCGAGTCGTGCGGCTCTCGCTGTACGGTGGCCTCCATCAAGTCCGGATTCCAGGTCAGTGAGCGGCGCCTGGCGCGGCGCGGACCGGCTGGCGGGCAGATCCGGTCTGACCTCGGCTCGGTCGGGCCCGGTCCGGTCCGACCCGGCTCGGTCCGGCCCGGTCCGGTCCGGTCCGGTCCGGTCCGGCGGGTTGACCTGGGGTCATGTCTGGGTCGGCACGTTTAGACTGAAGAGTTGAACAAGCCGGCTCTGCTTGTTACGCTCTGATAGTTGCTTAATTAGCTCCAATGGCGTCACGTCGGTCTGGTCGGCTCGTGATGGACGTGGTGTCCGTCGTCGTACGCCAATCTTTGTCGCGAAGGCAGTTATTGTGTCCGTCAAAAGATGGACACCGCCCAACCTGTCCGTTCTGCCTTACTTTTGGATGTGTTATCCGTCTCCGTTCCGTGAGATGTTTGGGTCCTTCGACCGTCTTGTTCTTCACGGTCCACGAGGGAGGAGGAGGGGGGTCGCGCCAGCTTTGGGAGTGCCTCCTCCCCTCCCCCCCCCCCCCCCAATAGCGACACCCCTCGCTCGCGGCGCGCCGCTGAGTGCAAGGCTGGAGGCGAGAACGCTGACAGAGCTGTCCGGCGGTGGTTGTTCGCACGCGCCCGGCTATCTGCCGGAGGCTGTGAATGGGTTTACGTGTTGGGTGGGTGAAAGTTGCCGTGGCCTGGTGTGTCGTGCTCACGAATGTAAGGGAGGAAGTGTGGACAGGGATGTGGTCGGGGATTTTTTTCGGGCTGGCTAGGGAGCATCGACTACCTTAAGCTGAAGCTCTTCCTATAAAGCAGTGCGGTATCATATATGTGTGCTGGGTGTGTCATTGCAAATTTACGACGCACTCAGGTGCTGAGGCCATACGGCGTTGCCTGCCTCGCATCCTGACAGAAAGGGCTGGTACTGCGGGGAATCGAACCCCCGTACCTCTGGTTTCCCAGACGCGCAGTGGTTAACGCGGCACACGTATATGCTATTCGCATATATTCATGCTATTCATTTTATGTTTTTTACATCACTTAGTGACCAATTTTGTGAAAACAGGCCTCTGCGCGCCTTCCGTGACCACGAATCCGCTGTTTGGCCGCGGCCTGACGCCGCCTCTGTTCACAGGCCGTCACCGGCAAGCGTTCGGTGCTGCGCGCCAAGGCAAGCTGAAGATGTGTCCGCTCTCCGGGCGGACCACGCTCCACGCCGCGGGGTCCGGTCAGCCCGGCCGCCAGCCGGCGCCCGCGCGACGGCGCTGGCCCGGCCGGCGCGCCGGCGGCGCCGGGCGCATCTAGGGTGCTTGTGTCTATTTTGAATTTGCACGTAAACTGTGCGCGCTGGAGCGGCGGCGGCGGCGGCGGCGGCGTCCGCGCGCTGTGAGGCGCCGCCGGCCCGAATAAAGCCGGTGCCGGTGCGGAGCTCGTGGCGTGTTGATGGGGCGGAGATGGAGGCGTGTGAAGGAGAGCTGAGCGGCTGCGGCGATGGCAGGCTGAAGGGCAGGAGCTCTCGGATTGCGGGGATCAGGGCATCGTGCGGGATGGTAGATGAAATGTGACCCCAGGCCCAAGTAACGCTCGTCTGTTTGCTGTGTGAGACTTGTAGGCTGGTAGATGAGCGGAGGTCAAGAGATGGGGGCATGAGCTTTCGACGTTTGCCACTATCAGATGAGGGCGGGTGACAGCAGGGAAGGAGAGAACGGAGGAAAGTGAAGCGACACATCAACCCTCTGGCCACCTGTACCGGCCTTCAAGTCTCGCAACAGCAAACGGGTCACGGTAATGGGGCCTCACGGCACTGATCTGTCATCGAGACCGGAGGTCGCCCGTGGAGTGACTCGGGGAGCCTGACCCGGCATAGGGAGACTGAACCGGTGTGGTGCTGGTCCGGACCTTCCGTTGGGGCACGCCGAATTGGGCCGAGCCCTTCACGCCTCGGCTGGGCCTGGCCCGAGCGCCGACTGGCAACTCCCGCCTTGGTTCTGGTTGACCAGCTGGCTACGTCTGTACGTGGAAAGAGCGGAACGTCGCTGCAGGAGCTATTGATCCTAGAAGAGTTATCAGTCGCATCCTTCAAACGGCCCAGTGGCCCAGTTTATTAATAACCGAGCATAACAAATGGTCGTCTTGCAGCCCATCCGTCACCTTTTCCAACAAATACAGCAGCCGGCGCCTCAGCGTGGTCCCCGACCGCGGCCGGCGTGCTACGCCTCGTCCTCGGGTGCCGCCGCTTAGAAAACGCGCAGATCGGGCCGCGAGATGGCGAGCGAGTCGCAGTCGACGGGCTGGTTGAAGCCGGCTGCGGAGCGGAAGGCGAGCGGGTGCACGTGGTTGAAGTTGCCGCCCGAGTCGCGGCCCAGCGTGTCGCAGAGGAGTCCGGCCCAGCTGCTCTTGCGGATCTCGGCGAGCTGCCGCGCTGTGAAGCTGTGCCGGAAGCCGCCATTGTCGTAGAAGAAGCGGTCGCCGTAGCGGACGTCGAAGAAGCCCTGGGCGATCAGGCACCGGAAGGTAGGGCCGACCACGGCGTCTTTGGCGGGTATTTCGCCCAGTCCGCCCACGAACAGATCCACATCGTGGGGATGGTCGTACACTTCACGCAGCCGTTCGAGCGCAAACGGGAACATGACCTTGTTGAGGTCACCCCAGTGCTGGACGTCGGCGCCCGTGCAGGCGGTCAGGGCGCTGACGTAGGATGGCGCGCCATGGTCGCGGCCGCGCTGGATGTTGAGCGTGATGAGGTCGAGTCCGTGCGGTCCTCCGGCGTTGAAGAGGTTGCCGTGCACCGCCGGCACAATGCTCATGTCGACCGCGTCTGACGGGCTGGCGACCAGCATGCGTGCATAGTCCATCAGGCCGCTGCTCACCGACGACGGCTCGAAGAAGGTGCTGGTCAGGTTGATGCTGCGAACCCGGCCGCGGGCGTCGAGCAGCTCGTACGAATCGAGGACCATCGAGTGGCCGAAGCGGAAAGCGGCCGATGCAAACTCGACAGTGGCGCGCGCGTCGATGTCGGCGTTGTACAACGACGAGAAGCCCCTCTCGAGCGGCAGCAGGCCGTGGGCGCGCGCGAACTCATGCCCCACCACCAGTGGCAGCCACTCGTTGTACACCATGTGCTGCCACTGGCCCGTGAGCACGCGGCGCGCCTCGGAGAACAGCTGCTCGTCGCCCCAGTTGGGGTGGTTGCGGCGCAGCGCGCGCGCCACGTTGTTGTGCGCGCGCATGAACACAGTGTGGACGACGGTCAGACTGCCCTGTTCGTTGGCTCGCTCATCGCCCGCGCGGAAGCACACGGTGCCGCGGCACCGGCCGTTCGGCGGCTCGCCCTTGCGCGACTGGCGCCGGCCAGCGTCGCCTGGCGGCCGGAACGGTTCCGTGCCGCGCGCGGGCAGCAGGCCACCCTTCCCAGAGCGCAACAGGCCGCGCCGGAACAAGCGCAGCTCCGCCAGCTGCTCTTCCCGGCTGCCGTACACGTTCGACGCGTCCAGGTAGTCGGTGAGTGCGTTGAGCTGCGTGGCGGGCCGCGCGTGGCAGTCGGGTTCGGGCGCCGGCAGCGAGCGGACGACGCTCATGCAGCGCTGCCCGAAGCGGCTGTAGAAGGGGTCGGACTCGGAGATCCGCACCGGTATGCAGAGCGGGTGGCGCGGCTCGCTCGGGAACTCCTGGCCGTTGCGCTTGCAGCATTCGATGCCGTCGCCCGACTCCAGCCGAAACACGGGCGCTTGCGTCAGGTCGTGGTCGATGAACTGGCCCCACTGCATCAGCGAGGCGGTGAAGCCGGACGCCGCCACCGACATCGAGTCCATGGTGCGCTGGCTGATGAGGCGCGGGTTGGGCAGCGTGCCGCCGCGCTTCGCCTTCGAGCGCGGCTCGAACAAGCCGTCGTCGAACGTGTTGGGCAGCAGCCGGCGGAAACCAGTCAGCGACCGGCCGAGCGTCGGCCGGCGCAGGTTGTTGCACTCGCCCGACACGGTGCGGAAGACGGCGTTGCGGTCGCACACGGGCTCCTTCTGCACGGAGCAGCCGGGCAGCGCCTTCTCCGATAGCTGGCGAGCGTTACGCTTTGTGCCGGCGACACGACGGCGTCGCGCGCTAGTCGTCTGCAGCGCCTGCAACACCTGCAGCGCCTGATGTCCCAGCCTCTGCGCCCGGTTGCTGGACGCCGAGTTCCACGCACTGAGCTGCGACGGGCTGTACGACTCCGGCGAGTCTCGGTTGGACTGCGGTCGCTTGCTGAGCCGCAGCAGCCGCGCAAAAGCGCTGGCGTGCGCCGACTTCGCGCGCCTCCTGGCGGTCGCCGCGGCCGGCCGCGGCTGGCGCGAGGTGCTGCGGCCGCGGCGTTGGCGCGGGCTGTCCAGGCGCAGCGCGCGCAGCGTCTCGATCGACTGCAGCGCCGACAGGCCGAGCTGCAGCGCCTGCTCCGACGACAGCGAGTTCCAGCTGCTGAGCTGGCCGGGACTGTTGGGCGCCGGTGCGTCACCGCTCGCCACGATCAGTTTGTTGAGCTGCAGCAGGCGGCGCAGCGCGCTGGCGCCGGCCTCAGCCGCCAGCGTGCGGTTGCCGGCCGGCAGGCGCAGCTCCTCGCTGCCGACGCGACGCGCGACGTCCAGCGGCTGGCGTCGGAGCAGGCGCTGCTGGCGGCCGCTGTCCAGCCGGCAGCGCACGCCCGGCGAGTTGTCCGGCAGCCGACACCAGCCCTCGGAGGGCCGGCCGCGCAGCCTCTTAGCCGGCAGGCATTGCGTAGCCGGCCGGCACGGCGCCTCGCAACAGCGGCCCGGCGCGCCGTTCGGCAGCGTGCACGCCTCAGCCCGCCTGGAGGGCGGCTCGCAGAAGGCGGCCGGCTGGCAGAGGCACTGCGCCGCCACATCGGCCGGCCTCGGCCATGGTGCGCACAGCAGCACGGTCTGCGAACGGCGGCGATCGCGTCATTGGCGGGCGTGGCGCGTCCGGACGGGTGAGACAGCGGCGGAGCTGGGGGGGGGGGGGGGAGGGGCGGCGCGGGCGTGATTGCAGAGCGGCAGGAAAAGGCGAGGAAAACCGGGCTCTCGGACTCGGCCTAGGTGGCCTCACCGTCACTATCTTGTTTTCGGGGTTAGAAAAAGGAAAGCGGCATTGGTGGCGAGGTGAAAGCGGATAAGCTCCTTCGCGACAGCCTGGCTCGACTGGTAACAGCTGCGGATGAAAGTTGGAAACATTTTCGTCGATGCACAGTGTCCTGGAAATGAAAGGATTTACTCGAATGTGAGGGACGATAGTTCTAACACTCAGGTACCCTGCCTTTCACGATACAAAAGTTAGCTTCCCACCTCTGTTGAGACCGGATGCACAGGCGCGGGAAGAGGGTCTTACCACATCCTAGCTATGTCATCCCTTACTAGCATTAATAGTTGCAGCTCATGGATGCTTCAAAAGGCAGGGGACACGGGACGGACGCAGCGCAGCAGAGGTACGGTCCCTGACGCCTGGACCTCCTCGTGATTTGTTTAGGCCTTTATTGCAGAAATTTATCAGCACCAGGCATAGCCGCTTTGTAATGGTGCTGAAAAGCTATTCCTTTTGAAAACATCCGTGTTCAACATGCTTTGTATGTTCCTTCATTAGCTCTCGTATTCGGCCGCTTGGATCGTGCTACTGCATCCAATAACGCATCGCTAAAAAGCTCACGCCTGCTAGGAGCGTAATCAAACCACCCTGTTTCTAGGTCGGTTACATGTTCACGTGGCCACTGCCCGAGCGGTAATGGGATTTGCTAATTCCAACAGGGAACGCGGCAGTGACAATATTAGAGCCCCATTATCGTCGAGCGCATCATCGAGCCGGTTGCGCCATTAAAATCTGCAATAACCTGTATGTACTGGTGTCTTCCCGCAGAGATGGAAGCAGGAAACCATCATGGCAATTTCCAAAAAAAAGGATACAAAAGGGAGCCATCACATTACGGACCGTTTCGTAGCTCCTTGTCGCCAGGAAGATGCGAGAAGGTGTCAAGTTCAATCCTATATGTATATCGAAGCCTGAGCTTACTAGGAGCCCATGACATATTCGATGAATCCTGCCGCTAGCGGCGGATTCAGGCGGGGGAGGGCAGGGGGTCATGGCTCCCTTGAGCCCTGAAGGGGTCCATAGGTTCCAAAGGGGCTCAAAGCTGGCCGAATAGACGCCTTTTTACACAAAACGCGACAAAATTTAACGTCTTTGGGCTTCCAGGCGATCGAGAACAATAGCGAGCGAAAGTGAAGCGCCCACGAGTTAACAATCCATTTGCTGTTTTGGAGGGACCTATATGCCCACTTGCAGGGTCAATCTGATGGCCAAGGGGCCTTTCACGCCGCACCTATTAGCCCGGAGGGCACTGCGCTGTTGCTGGGGCCCCTCCTGCTACCGTGCCGGGGCGCTCTTGTCAATCAGGGGCCTTATTCCCATTCCAATAGAAATCTTCCTTTTCAATCTTCCCATTCGTCTGGAAGGCTCTGTAAGCTATAGCTGGGGGCCCCATATGTTGGCCTGCTGGGATATTCTCGGTTGCTCAGGGGCCCTTCGTGTTGGTCTCGGTTAACCTACTGATACATTCGCGATATGTTCATGGGCCCTCTTAATTGGTCTAGGGCCCTCATAATTATCTGCCACATGCTTAGGGCTTACGCTCTTGTCGGGAGCCCATCTGTTGGCCTGCTTGTCACACTTCGTCATTCGACACTTTCCAAATTGGGTTTTTGGCGCTTTCTATTTAAAAAAGTAGCCTGCGCTCTTGGCTTTTGTCGGGGGCGCTATATGTTAACCTACTCGGGTGCACTCGATTGTTCAGGGGCCCTTCACACTGTGTCGTGGGTATTTATTATTTGAATGGAGGACCCTATGCGCTTGCCGGGTTCCCATCTGTTAACCTGTTTGGGCACTCCCGATCATTCTTGGGCCCCATGTTGTGTCTTGGGCACTTTTATTCGAATGGACGGCCCTTTGTTCTTGGTGGAGTTTCATCCATTAAGCCGTTCGGCCAGTGGTTAAGTACACGCAGAGGAAAAGTGCAGTGGTGATGTACAGTACAGAGTCCCCACTCCCCCAGTCCCCAGAGGGGAAGGGGAAGGCATAGCACCATGCCCCCTTATACCCCGAGGGGATCCATAGGCTCCGAAGGGCTCCATAACCGGCCGGACAGACGCAGTATTTGGGCAAAAAAACACAAGATTGGACGTCTTTGGGCCTACCGATCACCAATAACAGTTGCAAGCAGCAACAGTGAGGAATCCATGAGCAGACAAAGTTAGCTCTTTGCTGATTGAGAAGGTGATGATTGGGAAAAGGTTTGGGCCTCCTTATGATGTCCAGAGGCCTTACACCGCCGTCCGTGCCCCATATGTCCAATTGCCGGGTCAATCTGACCATTAAGGAGCATTCCGCGTTGCCCTTGATACCTTTGTATTTTCTCGTGAGGCTCTACGCTGCTGTTGAGACACTATTCGATGGCATGCCTGGGCACTGATCGATCAGGTTTTCCTCCACGGATTCTTCTCATTTGCCCGAAAGACTCCTTACGCTTTTTCCGGTGCCCCACACGCCAGAGCACACTCGGTTGCACAGGGGCCCTTCACGTTGGTGTTGGGCTGTTTCCACCTGTTCGGAGGGGTCTCAGGCTGTTGCTGGAGCTCATATGAGCTAAGGTTCATGCTCAGGGGCTCTGTACTTTGATCTAGGCTCTTTCCATTTTATTTTATTTGCGGAGGACCCTTCACTCCCATCAGGGCCCTTTTTTGGTAACCTGCCCATACACTCTTAATTGCACAGTGGTATCAATTCATGGTCTTGGGCAATTCGCCTTTGCTCAGAGGGTCCTGTGCTCTGGCCAGGCTCCTATATGTTAGCCTGCCGGGGTTCTCTCGATTGTTAACGGGCTCATCACGTTGGTCTTAGGTCCCTTTTGCTTGCTCTGGGGCCTTAAGCTTGTTGACGGGAGCCTCTTTGCTGGTCTCCTGTGGCACCCACGATCGCTCAGATTTCGGCCCTACTGGGCTTGGTACCTGAGCCTTAGACCAGCCGTCGGATATGCGCTGGTTGACTTTTACACGCATTTGTCGAACGTAATTGTACGTGCCGCCAACGTGGTATATGTCATTTCCCTCGGCTATTGAATCTGTGGCACAGAATTCGGTATCACGTTCTTTAATATATTTAGAATGTTAAGATGGCTTGTACTCCTTTATAACAAAGGAAAAACTCTGCATTAGTATCAGCCATCAGCTGATCACATCGACCAGCTGGTTAGCCGTAAATTGTCTAGGTGTAAAGTTCGTGCTTGATGTTGATGGTATTTAGGGGTCCATCTTTAGTTTATTTTGCCTGTTTTTTTCTGGAATGCTTAGCCTTAAAATGACATGATTTACCGTAATCTGAAGAAAATACATGAGTTCCATGTATGTGCATATGTTGTACGCCCCCAGCTTTCTAGGGCTATGCACAATAAGTTGGGTTCCCGTTCCCGTATTTACTATATATATATATATATATATATATATATATATATATATATATATATATATATATATATAGTGTGTGTGTGTGTGTGTGTGTGTGTGCGTGTGTGCGTGCGTGCGTGCGTGCGTGCGTGCGTGCGTGCGTGCGTGCGTGCGTGCGCGCGTGCGTGCGTGCGTGCGTGCGTGCGTGCGTGTGTGGGTGGGTGGGTGGGTGGGTGGGCGGGTTTGGGTATGGACGGGTGCGGGTGTGGGCGGCTGTGTGTTATATGCTTCTTATGCTCAAATCTATAGCCGGAATGCGAGGACTTTTACTGGACCCAAGCTCTAGGGGACCCACAATGTTGCGTCCCCCTTAACGCAAACCTGGATTCGCCCGTTCTTACCGCCACGTTGCACTTGTTCTGTGCACCGAATAACATGGTTTTATTTTCGGGTGTGCGAGCGGCATTCACAACTGTTAAGCTTCTCTCCGCGTGGGAGTCATGTCAGGCTGACTTCAGACGAATATCAGAAACTTGGATTTTTGGACTTGCGTGAAGTGAAAAGGTGTTTAATTTTCTCATTCACAAATATTGACCACCACTTCCATTCTGTTGAGACCTGTTCCAGCGAGACAGCCCAGAGCGCTCTAGTTTTTCACCCAAATTCATTTCTTGGTTCATCTAGTGGTTTGAGCTTTAAAGGCCAAAGAGGAAAAACGTTTAATTTTGACGCAGATACCGACGCCGGACTCCGGGAATACGGAACATTGCCAACGCGTGTTTCGTGAACGCGGCGCTGCAATGTCTGAGCAACGCCCGCGTCCTGCATGACTACATCCTACGAGACGAGTATTCCAGAGAGATCAACAAGATCACCTCCACCATGAAGGGTGCTCTCATCAGAGCGTTCGCTACGCTAATGCGAAACCTACGGTCGTGTCCGGATGGAGGTGACCGGGCATCCTTTTCGTCCATCTCAAACGGTTCTTGATGCGGCAGCGTCAGTGCAGAGACAAGCTCATCACCACTGTGGGCCTCTCCGCCACTGGTCTGGACCTGTGGCCATACTCTGCCGTACCGGGGGACTGGATTTGTGAGCTGTGTGGCGTGACCCAGCATTCTGGTGCGGCGCACTCGGGCCACTACACGGCCCGCTGCAAACACCCCCATTTGGGAGTGTGGCAATAGTACAACGACTCCAGGGTCCAGTCCACCCATAAGTACCGCGCCAAGAGCCGCGGAACGTTCATGCTGTTTTTGTTTTACCTGGCCAGTCATTGGCCTGGTGCCGAACTGAATGTCACTGCTCGAAGGAGTTGAAGAGGGCTTTCCCACGTCCAACTCCGCCAGCTAAACAACGAGACGGTTGGTTTTCATGGCAGCATGCCTTAACATTTTTGTTCTGAAAATCTGGTGGAGCAAGTCTATCATTGCC